ATCGAGTTATCTTCAGTGTGATGCCACAAAGGGACAGGGTTTTCACCCCCCTGTGCCACAGTGCCAGTGCTGGGTCTCCTTCTGGGCACAAGCCCCGAGAGGACAGAGCCATTGGCTCTTCAGCAGCCTCTGTGTCTCCATCATGCAGTCCAAGGCAAAAGACTTCCAGCAGCACAGGAATCCACCACCTTGCCTTACACTGGGGTGCATCTTGCCTTGATGATCCCCCTACAGACCATCTTATGGCAGTTTCATGTAGGTTAGCAGGTTCACATGTGTAGCCATTTGAAAGCCTGATTCATTTATCCACAATTAACTCAAGAATGCTCTTTGCTGGAAGGTTATATGTTAGCAGCTCTCTAAAATCAGCCCAACCTGGCCGGCCACTAATTCACTCTTAATATCAAGCTCCTAGGTTAGAGAAACTAAGAATATTTTTTTCTTTTAGGCAGCTTTGCCCCTCTACAGACAGAGCAATTTTTCTATTTGAGCCTCTGGTCATGCAAGAAAGATTTCTGATTTCCTGTGAAAATCACATGAATAGAGTAAACTGGGGAGAAAGCAACCTTCTTGCCATGTCACTGGCTTCAATATTTACACACTACTGTTGCCAACTGGCAAGATTCATAAAAGAACAGAGCACAGAGAACAAAACCCACACATGATTGCTCTGGCCCATAGCACTTCTATAGGAGTCTGCAAGAGGTGATCTGAAAAGCAAGCAATGAGAGCAGAGCCTGGCTCCCATGTGTTTCTGCATGGACCACACTGGTTTCCCATGAACAGCAATCCAGTGCCTCTGCTTTGGGTTTTCAGGGGCAAAGCTTCCCAGACTCTCATAATATCAGGAAGCTGCAATGGAAGTCTAGGGCAAAAATGATTGTTGTTATTAATTGACTGATTTCTGTGGCACCCAAAGGGAATCTAATCATTGTGTGCAGGTGTATTTCAGAGGATGAGCCATCACCTGCAGCACATCACAGGGTTTGCCACACCCACCACTGTTATTGCTTAAAAAAGGAACGTGTTGAAAAAGAATCAAAGATAGAAATTTCCATCTGCCTCACTTTGCAGTGTGCTTTTGCCTTTAGAAAAACATCACCTGCTGGGCAGTCACTTCCCCCTATGCTGAGAGACCATGGGGTCCTGATGAGGTGTCATGATCTAAGGGTTGGTCTAGAGAGTGTGACCACAGGGTCATAAGATTTCACAGCACTCAAGAACATGGAGGCTTTTTTCTCTTAATGGCTATAGTTAGTTACAGATTGCCACAAATACCACAAAAATCACCAATATGCCCATGATTAATATTGCAAATATGAATGAATATATATATATTTATATATGTCTCGAGCTATTACGTATTACTAGCATCAATCAATTACAGTCTCAATCAATACTATGGTATCAGTCAATGATGGAAAGAATTAGTAGTGCAGTACAATCAATAACAAGCACAACCAAGTAGTGCTGTATTCTTACCTATTACCACAACTTGTCACTGGAAAACAATGAGTGTATATACTGATATATGCTGATATAATATATATAACATCAGTAGGAAGAAAATTAGATTTCAGAATGAAATCTCAAAAGGGGAAGGACAAACCAATCAGAGATGGGGACTACATACCCAGCTATTCCCAAAAGAGGGGATTACAGGCTTAACTGAAAGCAAAACAGAGATACTCACTTCTTGGGGTCGGCCAGGGGTCAGCAAGACATCTGTGGTGACAGCCCAAGGTCCTGTAGAAAGTTTGTGTGGGGTTCTACCAGAAAGCTCGGAGTGACAGGACCTCAGTTTTGGATAAAATAAACACATTTTTTTTTAATAGCATATGGACATCAGAGGGCAAAGGATATCCTACTTCACACAGTCAATAAATGCTGTTAATGTCTTGTTTCACCTGTAAAATCCAGCACATTATGATGTTTTCTGCTCTTTCAGAGCAATTTTATTTTCCCAGACTGTTTTCTACTGTGTTTTCCCAGACTGTTTTTCTCAGGTGATAAGTTGTTTCTAAGGTGATAAGGTAATGAAGTTTACCATCATTTTTTCTGCTTATTTACTATATTTCAGAATGTCTTCAGTTTCTAGGCACCCTGGCTGCACTTTTCAAAGATGCTTCTGCTTTACAGGCCCCATCCTTAGAGGGGATTCCATACTTCAGCAGTGCCAGGCTGGCTCTCCTTTCTCTGTCAGTGCTTTTCAGCAGATGATTTCTTCTCTTCTGTAATTTTCCCCTTCTAACCAGGCCACCTTTATGACTGATCACAATACACGGCTGGACTGGGAGAAGACTGAAATGCTTACCAGGCTGTGAGGTACCTACCAAGCAAGCTGGATGTGGGATAAGAAATACCCCGAGCCATTTCACACTGCTGGTAAAGCATGGTGGCCAGCATCACTCTCTTTCCCTGATACCCAACTCCTCTGGAGTGGGTTTCTCCTCTCTTCTAAGCCCCTGTATTTCAGATAGGTCCTGCCCTCCCTTCAAATCTGGATAAAATTGACCATGAGTGCTAAAATTACTGAGAACAAAAATGAGAAACTGACCAATGGGATAGATGTAAGTTTTGTTTTCCTAGGAAAGTGAACCTGGGAACAGAGCAGGCTGCCTGACATGCTTAATGGTGGAAAAGAGTCTTTAATTTTAAAATTACAATGATGTCAAAAATATAGCACTCTGTAATTGAGGCTTCCCTAAATTTCAATGAGCCACATCAGCATTTTGTTCTGTGCTTTTTTCTCATGACTGTAATTGTTCCTGGTGGAATGTAGTGAATTCTGTGTGCTGCAAGAAGCCAAAAGAAAGAAGAACTCAGGGCTTTGGGCTAAGAGTTTCACCCTCCATTCCTGGTCCCATTGCAGGCTGTTACTTATCCTCTCTGTGTCCTCTCTCTGCTTCTCTGAGCTCAAAATTGTCACCAGACCTGATGCTCAGTGCAAATAAACCACATTTCTCCATGAGAGATTTGTGTAGGGACCAGACAGGCTCTGTGTACACTGCCTGAATGGGGAGCATGGGAACGTGTTGTTTTCTCAACTCACCAGCAAATGCAGCCAGGCTTTGTGTGAGAAGATCATAATTGACTGTTGGATACAGGTTAGGAGGAAAATAGCTCCTTTAAAAAAGGGGACATCAGGAATGAAGAGTTGGTGAGGGACATCCTAGCAAAATGCACCCAAGTGAGCCTTAGGCAATGCAAGTTATACACATCTCTGATCTGAGGAGGTGAAGATTAGCCTGCAGAGATGGTCAGCTTATGTTTAGTCAATAAATAATGGCAATGATAAATAATTTTTTGTCATTAATTCCATAGAAAAATTTTCTCTGTCTGCAGACTGGTATGCTGGCACGTCTTAAGCAACCACCGTGCTCACCTCAAGCAGCCAGAGGAAGTGAGCTGGGTTTTCTTGTCCTTGCCTTTAGCCAAACCATTTCACACCTTCTCAAACACATCTGCCCAGAGCTGCTGAGGGTGAGCAAGAGGCCATCACTCACACAGGGCACACTGCAGTAGCACTCACTGGCCCAGGCTGGGTAAAATCTGTGGTGAATGCAAACATCTGAATATTGCCTGTGGGCTAGGCAGCCCAAATTATGGGGACAAACCCACACTTTGCATGTGAGCAGGGTGAACTGGACATGGCAGTTCCTGAGTGTGAACCCCTAAGGCACTCAGGCTGTTCTTCTCACAGCCACCCCAGGGCTGCAGTAGCACAGGGCAGGGGGCTGTGAAGTCAGAGTTTGCAGAATGCTCAGCATTTCATTTGAGATTTCTCCCCCTGGCTGGCCCTGTTTAGTGTGCACAGAGGCAAATCTGCCTGTGTTCAGGCAAATTTTGGGGATTGTCTGTGCTGGGGAACAATTGGAAAAGCAGTGATTTATAGTAACTGGACATGGTAGCTCTCAAAGGAAAACATATCTCTCCTCTGAGTACATGCTATGGATTTCTGTAAATTAAAAAGCAACACTTGTCTTGAAGACCACCTAGTCTCCTACAACCAGCACTAAAGAAAACTGCATCCAACAGAGCCCATCTCCACACTCATACCTATGCTGGTTTTAAGGTACTACTTCATGTTTTGGGCTGTTCAGGCTTGGGCTGTCAGATGTGCCGCCCTTATCAAAATTTAATGGTGCTCTTGGTAGGGCTTTCAAAAGGGCGATACACAGAAAACCTTAGAAATACTTAAAGAATGACTTGGAGTGATTTTTATGGGGTTTCCAGTTCCTAAAAATATTTTGTACAGGTTTGCTATAAATGACTGGGGGGATTTACTCTGACAACTTCCAGTGAGATTTATTCTTTGCAAAGGGCTGACCAAAAAGTTTCCTGCAAAAGCATTATTTTTGAAGATAAACTGGAACTTTATTTAAATAAAATCTTCCCAAAAATACATCTTTTCTTTGAACATTGCTGGTTTTCCTTGAAACAGTAATGCTAGAAAGCCCCCAAATTTTCAGCAGTTTTCGTGAGGAAGAGTCGTTACCAGCTGCTAAAAAAACAAATAGCTTTTTAACATTCTGAATGGAGTTTTCAACAAAAGGCAATGTTTCCTACAGAAAATTCTAATTAAAGTGATGTTTATTTTTTGTCAGACTCGTCTGCAGAAACTCTCTGTTTCATATATGTCACATTCTCTATAGTCCCCAGCTGGGAGAGTGTGTTAGAAAACCCCAGCCAGCACTTTGCAGAGACCCAGCCTTTGCACAGAATTATTCAAGGTGAAGCCTGGCACAGACCTGACAGTTTGTGGTTTTCGTGTGAGTTAGCAGCCTCACAAAACACCACCTGGGACTTCAACAATCTACCTCATCTCCTTGAATGCTTTTCTGCTAAATGGAGTTTTTATCAGGGTTACCCTACCCCTCTGGTCAACTCCAAGCAAGGAATTCAGTTCTGGTACATTCAATAGTCAGGCATCTCTACTTGTACCATCTCTGCTTCAATCACTTAATAAAATTAGGAATAATCAATTAATGCAGATAAAGCAACAACAGAAACAAACCTCTGCAAATATACATTACACCATTTCTTTTCATTTCTTTATTATAGCTTATTGCAATTTGCATGCATTTTGTCTCCACAAATTAATTTGATATTACTGTCACATGTTGCTCATGTTTAACAGCAATGCATCCATTGCTAGGTAGCTGTGTCCAGCTCAGCAGACTTCCAAATTTCTGCCATAAATAAACTGGATGATAGAATGTATTTTGTAGCTTACAAGGTGGAGATATTTCCCCAGGCATTTGTTGACATGAGTCATGTTTCTCATGGAAAAGCACAGTATACAGGAAGTAATGAAGAAATGAGGATTCAATTAATATTGAATTTTTTAAAATGCCACTGCTAATGTTAATACAAACAGTATCATTAAGGTCTGGTAGGATCAAAAGGAGACCTGCCTCCTGGAAACACTCCCAACCCCAGGACTGTTATGGAGTTAATAGTCAATAATAGAATCTATTCATGCTCCTAGATTAGTCTGTCAAAGACAATTAATCAAAATACAATAAGCTTTTCTTCCCAAAATAGAAACGTATACACATTTAATGTGACAGTTGCATCACAGAAATTTCACAGGAGTTTTCTTCTTGTATTTTGCTGAGGTTACAAATCGAGGCCTGAAACATAAGGCCTGAGACAGGCAAATCTATGAAGTGTGAAAGGCTACTTGAAGGAAAAAGCCAGAAATCCACTTTTATATGAACTTAAAACCATAGACAACCATTCAGTAAAAATACCAATACTTACAGAGGCTGCATTTATTTATACACTTTTTATCCTTTGGAATGTGTTTGACAAATGCAGTAAACATGCAGGAGTGTCTTCTGCCATCATTCAAACACGTGTAATCTCATTGACTTTATTGGCACTGTATCAGTATCATTGAGGACAGAGTTTGTACCATTCAGGAATCTCATTTTTGAAGATAATTGGAAGAATCTCTGAATAGAAGGAAAGGGTTTTTTTCACTAGAGTCTATTTTTGATTCAAAAGTACTACTTCATAGTCTGTAGCTGGTTTTGTTATTGCTTCCTTTCTTATGCAAAGCAAATTTATAGGCATTTTTTATGGAAAGGAACCACAATGAAATCAATTTTATAGCAAGAAATAATAGAGATAAATATTTCTTTCACTGCTGACTCAGAGACAGTTTCACCCCATTGGTAGTAAACTTACACAGATTTGATAAAGAGTGTTTTACCTCACCCTCTCTTAAAAGATCAGGTGAATATAAATCACTTATTTGATGACATTTACCCCTCATCATGCTTGATTCATTTAACTGGAAAGACCCCAAAGGCAGGAGTCAGGCTGTGAGATGGTGCAGCATGGCTGTGCCTCCCTCCCAGGCACTGGGTTTGCAGTCCCATCCTCCTCAGGGTCCCTGCCTGGTGGCAGTGCCAGAGGAGTGGCTTGGAGCTGGAAACAAATGCTGTTTTTTGTCCCACAGGCAGCTCCATTTCCTGGCATTGCCTCCTCCACCTTGTGTTGCTCTCAAACCATGATCTTCTATGGGGGACGCCTTGAGAGCCAGAAATTTACTTTTTGATTTTGTAGTGAAAATGAATGTTTAAATGTCAGGAACGCCTTTGGACTGAAAATCGTAGATTCTGCCTCTCTGTGGCAGAGAAGCTGGACTATGAAGATAAATGGGCCATGTGCCAGTTTCTGCACTGACGCACATGCCAATAAATTATATGACTGAAGCATGCTTTTGCAGATGATTTTACATTTAGTTATAGTCCCAGAAGTTCATGTCCATTGTCTGAGGGCTTTGGGACATAAAGAGAGGACTATAATAGAGGGTTTGATCCTGCCAAATTTTTAAGTACGCCTTCTCCTTTTCAAAGGTGCTGCCTTTCCACAGGCTTAACATTTTTTTGGTGCTGGCTCTTTGATGCCAGGAAGTCTTACTGCCTCTGAATACCTGCCACTGCCATGCAAAGCCATTGGCCATGCAGTTAAATCTCCCCTCTGTCTCTTCTTACCCAGCAGGGAAGGACAATGGGAGAGACTTGGAGACAGTACAAAATTGTAGTTGAGGCATTTGTTTCTTATTATATTTGCCCTTCCCAGGAACACAAGTGGCAGCTTGCCACGAATTAGGTCTGCTCTATAATTCAGACTCCGAGTAATCAGAAGACAGCAGTCAGAGCTATGATGGATAAGGGCCGGATGTCACATGTCACTGTTGGGTCTCCCCAGCCTATCACCAGCCCTTGTGAGCATCAGTCATGACATTCTACTTACCTGCCTTCCCCCACTGACAAGCTTGCACTAAACTGATGGTTAATCTCCTGTCAGTAGGTCCTCCATGACCTGGGTTCTGCAGAGATGTGCCATTCAGCTCTTCTTAGGCAAGAGATGACCTAAGGCAAGACAGGAGTGTTGGGTCAAACTTTCTCAGTTGCAGAAAAAGCAACTTCCTTGTAAGCTGAGAAACTTGGCCAAAACTCATCAAAGCTCTGTTGTTTTGATAATAGATAAATCGGTTGTACTCTCTGAAAATATCACTGTGTTTGTAAGAGTCACACTTGGTCTCCAGTGGTCTTCAAAATCCATATCACCCCAGTCACAGCACTTCCTAAGTCAGGATTCCCACTCTGGGAAAAGAGATTTGTCAGATCATGAAACTACAGCCTTAAGAATCATACATGCTTTTGTAATCTTAAACCTCCTGCTTTTATTGTGCATGGTTTCTCATTTTATTTCTTTAGGAAGAGAGAATACAACGTACAAAATTAATGAGGGAAGATGCACAGTCAAGTGTATCCTTGAACTCTTTTAGAATGAGCCTGGTGGTGGTGGTGGGATGACTTTGAGAGCTAAGGGCACCAGGCTCTGGTGCCTGGATGTTCAATACCCAGCTCCCATCAGTGGTGCTTTCTTCCTAGGATCAGCAGGATCCCCATGAGTTTGCTTGCTAACAACTTGTGTGCTACACTGGGTACTTTCTGACTCCCAAGCCTGGTATATCTCATACTCGAATGTCCTGAAGAGATTATTTTGGATTGTCTGGCCAAAACCACCACTAGCAAACTGCTTGATGAAGGTCAGTTTTAGACAATTCCAAAAACAAAATATGATGATGTTGAGCTGCTCTGAGTCACACAGACCTGTTTCAAGAACCTGTATTAGCTGTGGTAATTTCTTCAATGCATGCTTTTATTTTAATCTCTCATAGGCTTTATGGAATGGGAGTTGAAAGGGTGTCCTAGGAAGACTCACACATTTGGCTGTTAGCTGGACTAGCTGGACTAGCTGGAATTCTATCTTGTAAAATATTTTGAGATGTTAACAGTTATTTTAGTCACACTGACAAACAAAAGGCTGTTGAAATTTTTCAGACAAAAATTAGGAAAAAGAGAGAAAGTGTTTATTGAGGCAGTGGTGCATTTGCTCACCTGGCAAGGGGAATCAAACTCAAGTGATGCTCAGTCTTATGCGCTAAGATTATCAGTCTCATTATCAGTTTCTTTCTTCATTTAATCAGAAATATAACTCTGAACCCCAAAATGTTACTAACAAAAGTTAATAAAACTGCTGTTATATTTCCTTGAATAGTTTTGGTTTCAATGAAACAGCATGTGGCTTTTAATAAGATTGTCAGGAAAAAAGGAGGTGTCTTGGTGAGGCTGCATGGTGGTTGGCAAAAATCTGGAGATTTGATGGTTGTCCATTGATCTATTTTATAAATGTGCTAAAAAGCTGGTAACTTGACTCAAACTCACCAATCTCATTCATGTTTACACCTACTCCCTGGTGCTGGAGTTTTTACCTAGCATTTAGGTGAACATTTCCGGAATGCAATTATTCAACAGCTTCCTTACTCTAGACAGGCCATCCCCTTATATTCTTGGTCTTTTGTTTTTCTTCTAAAATATTCTGACTGCAACATGTTTTTCCTAGTATTTCATTGAATGAAACAATGTGACTAAGTAGAGTGAGAGAAGAGGAGAGCCCAAGAATTATATCTCTCTTCTGACGAGCCCTAAGCAGATCCTCCTACTGTAGTTTCTTCTTTCTCTTGGGAAATTCCCCTTTGGGGGGAGTGTTGGGTGTAGACATTTTCAGAAAATGCTGTCAGCACAACTCCTGCAGAGCAGCAGGAGGAAGGGAGGGGACCGGGGGAGTGTGGTAGGGGCCCAAGCATTTTTGGTAAAACAGTCAAAGCATAGAGTTGCAGTATCAGCGGGGCGATGATTGTCAACTACTACAGGAGAAATGTTTCCATTTCCTACCACAGGTCACAACGCTTAATAGCATCATCGATATGAGCACCGCTAAAGACCAAATCAGCCCAATATGCAATGCTGGTCTGGGGTCATCTACAACAAACCCCACTCACCTGGACCAGCAGAGAGGCCCAGAACTCCATGGGCAAGATTCTTGAGCTTCCCTATTGAGCAGAAAAGATGCAGGGACAAAAATGCTAAGCTGCAGGCTGAGAGCAGGGCTGTGGGGGATGGCTCTCTCACCACACACCAGTATGAGGAGGTGCAGCAAAGCCTCCTTGCGAAGACTGGCTGTGTTACCTGCCACACAGCTGCCTTATGTAAGATTCAGCTCAGACTGGAGTACCTACCCTGAAGTGTTTGCACAGAGATGTCAACACCTGAGCTCAAGGGGTGATTCAGTTGCCTCCACGGAGACTTCTCATGTTGCTTGAGATGCTACAGGAAATCTGAGACACCTACAAGGACCTGGCAGATGCAACACAGGACCTCCCAGTACAGCACATCGGGACCTGAAATAACATCCTGAAGCATCCAGTTTGGCACTCAGCAACTGGGCCATGTCCAAAGTTATTTAACTTCCCAATACAGTCAAGGAAATTATTCTAGGAAATAATTTGGTTTGCCAAGAACTACACTCCTAACGTCATGGCCAGGCTGACTGTACTGATAAGATTTCCATTATGGGGACCATAGGTACCCAGCTGACATGAAGATGATTAAATGTAGATATTCTAGTCTTCCAGTCCTCAATCAAGAAAATAAAAATAAAAAATCTGCGCGTGTCAAAAGCACGCTGCTACCTCAAGCTAAGTCCTTGCTAGTAGCCTTCTCCACAGCAGCAAGGCCAGAAATGTCCTGATATGCACTACAGCTGCTGTTGACTCCACTGTGCCTCAAGAGGCAGGTTGCTGCCAGGGTATTTAAAAGTCAAATCAAGGGAAATTAACTCTATGCAAACAATAGACCTGAACTGGTCTTCTTGAATGGGCTGAACTGGTCTTTTTTCAGTACGCTCCAAGCACTGCATAAGGAGCTGGATAAAAGAGATTAATTTTGAGTGGCTGCAGACCTCCTCCAGCAGGACCAGGTTCCAGTGAGCCATCTGAGTGTGTCACAGCTTGGTACTGCTCCTAATCCACTTCTTGTGCTGATTGAAGAAAGCACCTGGTTGATGGTCTGGGATCCCATCCATGCCTTTTGGCCAAAGCACGTCTCACTCCAGATGTGTTTTGTCCACACCAACCCTATCACTAAGGTATTTTCTGAAGGACTACTCCCTCCTCTTAGCCTAGGGCTTCTGAACATGATGACTTCCTTCCGCCTTAGAAACTAGATTGTATCCTACTGATACCCTCATTTTTTTGCTCAGCTACTTCTCACTTTTTCTCCCCTACATGCTTGCCCAGGAGCTGCAATCTGAACCAGCACAGTTTTTAACACAGAATTTTCTATTCTACTTTTTCAGAAGTAGAATAGAGGATGGAGTACAAGTTGTTCCAGGAATCATAGGCTTGGTTTGAGTCTGCAATGGCAAAAAGCTAGTGCCCTGTGAAGTAATAAAAGGGTATTTTAAAGAAACTCGTCCTGGCAGGGCTGTAAGCTGATTTATGAAGGCAGGTGTCAAGTGACTGTGAAACTGCTGGAGCCATGGCAAAGCATATTTTATTGTTGCTTTTGTGTTTTTGTATCTTTTTCTAAAAATCCCCAAACCAGCCTAAGCATAAGCACCGTGCTAATGGGAGTTTAAATGGATTTGAGGGAGTTCAGGATTTCGGTGTAATTCCAAGGCGTGACAAGCCAGAAAACTTGCCAGTTTTAAATAGTGACTCTGAAAGCCAGTATAAAGTTCAGCAAACACTGAATGTGCTCAGCAAAGGACATGAAAAATCCATTGTTAAGCAGTTGCTGCACCTGCTGCAGTGATATGTTTTTCTTTCAATGTTCTTATGTTGGCTGGGCCCATGACTTATGTACATGAAGAGGGGTCATGGTGCCTCTTTCTAAATGTTTGCATGGGGTGATGGAGATTTCTGTGATCCAGGCAGTGAAAACTGCCTGTGCTACGTTTCCAAATGATGTCTGAGCCCTCTTTGCCAAGGTGAAAACAATTCTGCAAAGAGTAGGGCAACACAGCAACCAGTCTTAAAGCCAGCAATGCCACCTTGTTTATTTATCCTAGATGGAGGCTGTTTACAACATTTTTACTATAACACACATGCTTCCCTATAGGTGCTCTGCATGTGTTGGGCATAAATACGATGCTCTCACCACAGATTCTGCGTTCCATGGGTGTGTTGTTCACAGCCACATCTGTGCCCTTCTCTGGCCAGGTCAGGTGTGTGAGCCAGTTGCAGACAGGTAAAGCTGCTGTTAGTGCCACTGGGGCTGTTCCCTGTGAGGCTGTGCCATGCCAAGGGGGCATCCAGCCCTGTGCTGGCAGGCAGAGATGCTCTGGCTGGGCCTGTATGTAACCTTGGGTGAGAGGAATCTGGTCACGTGTGCTATCCTTCATGTACAGATCCCAGTTTCAAATTCCCCACAAACCAGCTTGAGAGAAATCAAGTCTAAGGTGTATTTTGAGAATGGGGAGCCCTTGGAGGGGAGCTGTGTAAGCAGCTGACAGTCACCTGCCTTTGCTGTGCTCCCACGGAGTGCAGAGAGGCCTGCAGGAAGCACTGCCCAGCGCAGCTCGGCCTGCCTGCTGCCTGAGGGGCAATGAAGGGAGGTGATGTGGGCTGAGCTGAGCTGACTGGCTGCGGGAGGACCCTTCTGGCCTTGCTGCCATCCTGCTGTGCAGTTACAGGTTCTGCCGACCACCATGTTGGGAGGTAAAACTGGCAACCTGTGACTTTGCAGGAGTATTTCTTAAAGAGGGATGTTGCTCCTGCCTTAGCAAAACTCATCTTAGTATTCCACTGGTCTTTCAAAAAAAACATCTGTAAGACAAGGCTATCAGCTATATAAACTGCTGGATTACTTGCAAATTAAAAAAGCTCTACTTTTTCCTCAAGCTTTTCCTGCAACCTCCCCCTGCCTTACAAACCATCAGACACTGCATTTTTTCATCAGGTCTGCAGCCTGCTTTTAAGAGCTACAAGATCAGCATCACTGGCATGAATATTCAGAAATAAACTAGGCAGGTGCTGGGTTATGACAATATCAGCTGCAAAATTTCTGGCCCTGTGGCAGTGGAATGATCTCAATCCTCAAATCCTCACTATATTCTGATTGCAGCATTAAATGTGCTCTTTTTTCTTTACGCAATGGAGTCTTTTTCAAAGGAATGACTCCATAATAAATAATAAATATATAAATTTAAATATTGCGTGCATGCCTGAAAACCCTCACACAGAGCACTGAGAGGAAATATTCTGGGTTGGAAAATCTTTTGCTGCACAAGTCAGCTATCCAGATAATGAATCCTTAGAAGTATGTAGGACAAATAGCTCTATGAACCATCTGGGACTCACTCAGCAGTGGGAAAAAGCCTGTTAGGCTTGCAAGATCAGCACACAAGAGTGATTGCTGATCAGTCACTGCTGCTTTGCAGAGAAAACAAAGGAATTTAGCATTTAAGCTATTAATAGTTCTCACCTAGTGCAAGTGTTGCAAGATGCATTAACTTCCCCAGACCATAAATTCAAAATTTGTTAGACACTTTTGTAGATTCTGCTTTTATAATAGGCTTAATTTTCATTCACTTGTTCCCATGGTTTTCATGTGCCAGCATTAGGTTCTGGCTGAGCCACATCTGGTTTGAAAACTAATCACATATAAAACACAGCAGAACTCCTTTTCAGATCATAACTTCCTCACTCAACTCATCCCACAGCTAAAGGGACACTGCTGCAGGAACAAAAGGGCACAAGGGGCTGGCATCAGGTTTTTTGGTGTCAGCATTCACTGAGGCCATTTTATGTTGATTGTGGGGGCTTGATCTAGTTGGGCTGGGTGCTTTCCTTCAATTTCATATTACAGCAGAATGAAAGAATAGTTAAAAAAAACAGTTATGATTTTAATCAATTACCAAGGTGTTATTTCAGTCTAAATCTAGTTTGTGATTGCTTCTAACAGGGAAAAATGCCTATTACTTCCAGAGAGAAAACAAAGATGACAAAGAACAATAAAATAGTTAATGATTTCACAATCAGGCAGGTGAGATTTTGTACATTGCCCCCATAAGGTTGCAATTTTCAAGTACATACTGATATATTTAACAATGGCTAACTAAATGTCTAACTAGGTGTCTAAAGGCACAGCTCCTTGCAGAGCCTCTTGAGTCCCATGCTAATTTGGCTCAATCTGAGAATCAGACCAAAGGCATTAATGTTTGGAAACACTTAAAAAAACTCACCTCTGGTAAACTGGGAGTGGAATTCAGCTCCAAATAAAGGAACCTGCTTGTGGGTGTATGTAGGAGTCTGTCCGAGCACTGTGTGTCTAGGCTGTCCTCCCACCTAGCAGAGATGGATGGTTTGGTTGCAGGAAGGAGTTATCATCTGGAATACAAAGGGCACAGTGACTTCCCAACAGGACCAGTGGTTCTGACAGAGGATCTTCAGGATCTGTGCCCTCTGCCATGTGTGGACTGCGGTTTATACAGCAGAACTAGAAACCTCTGCTCATGTATCTAAATCCTTCCACTAGCACAAAGTCAGCCTGGTTCCGCTGGCTGCCCACCAGAAGCAGGTTCAGCTGCCCATGCACAAGTACCTAGTGCTATTCAAGGCACTTCCTAGCACCCAGAACACTGCATGAGGTTGGCAGATGTGACACAGGACTCCTAGGAAAACTCTCTCTGTGCCTGGGGTAGCAATGTGATGGTAGGTGGGATTTCACATGGTGCTGAATGCCTGCTTTTAGGCAGTAAAGGCAGCTCCCACAACTGGCTTTCCCTCCATTCACAATCTGTGATGAGAATACTGTCATGCTAGACTGGATTTTGGCATTGCAGCTCAAACTCAAGGGCTTCTGGCAATGCTTCTATGGTGTAAGGTGCTTCTTGATGCCAGCCAGGGCATCACAATCAATTTGTTAGGAAATGGGGATGTTAATGACATGGTAATGTTCAGCATATAAATTAGTTGCTGTTTTGTCTGGGTTCAAAATACCAGGCCTTGCTAGGCTCTGATACTGCTGTCCTGCATGCCAATGTAATGCCTGGAGTTGAGAGGGATCATTAGACTGAGCAGTGAGGTTCAATGAAGGATGTCACAGGACTGACCTAGCAGCCTCCCGGCTGGCAGAGCCCAGCCCTTGAGCCAAACCACCCTCTTCCTGCAGAGGTCAGTGTCTGTCCCCAGTGACACACAGCTTTATCCTGAATGATGGGCCTTCCAAAAATATTTCAACAGCTGGAAAAGCTGACCATTTGCCCATGGAAACTGTCCTTCTGGAAGCAGTAAAGATGGCCCAAAAGTATTATGAGTACTCTGCTCTCTGTAATGAGTTGTGCTTTCCAAATGATTGAGCCTGCTACTTATCTTCATTTTGAATTCGTCTCAGTGGTTCCCACTAAGGCCTACTTATGTAAGACAGTGGAACATAGAGAAAATCTTACTGATCCCAAGTTTACGAATGCAAATGAACAGCACAAATGCAGTGGTGAAAATGCTGTGCAGTGTGCAGTGTAGTCCTGTCCTCTGAACTGCTCCCTCTGAGGCATGACACAAAAACTCAGGTCACCTTTGGCCTTAGAAGTGCATGGTATTGAAAAAAGGGAGAGGGGATAGTTAGCAGAAATACACCTTTTGCAGGGAAGGCTAATGATTAACCCACAAATTATTCAAAGCATGTGTAAGTCAATCATGAACTACAAAAGTAAGATGAAAGCACCAAGGAGAGAAATTGGCTGAGCAGAACTGATCAGCATGTGGGAGTAAGATGTGCTTACAAGCCTAGGAAATCTCTAACAAAGTAAACCTCAACACTATACAAATTTGGTTAGCACAGTCTTTTGATGCTTTCTGCCCTTTGCAAAGTGCCTTAAGGACCAATCACTGGATATTCCCTTCACCTTAATATAAAAGAGAAATGTTTTTTCAGACCCTCTGTTCACAGAGTTGAAGCAGAAGGAAAGGGAAAGCAGATACTCGTGCACAGCACAGGGGTAGGGAGAGTAACCAGGAGTCCTGGGCAGGGATACTCAATGTAGGAACAGGATACTCGAGCATCACCAGTCAGCAGTAAGGCCGCAAGGGAGCACTTACACAGCAGCCTCATGTGGCAGCAGAGGAACTTGAGAACCCATAACCACCCCAGACACAGCTCCAAAGGAGCAGAACTGGCTGTGCTGAAAGCAAGCCCAGTTATTGTGAGCCACAGTGACAAAGGCTATTTATTTGAGTGTATCATTATTTACAAGACACGGGAGGCTCCAGCCAATATCTGGGGACTGGACTGCCACAGTGCCAACCACAGCATGAGCTATATCTTGCCTTTCTTTCTTTCTTCATTGCCTTTTACTTGGGTTTTTTGGTTTTTGTTTTTGGCTTTTTTTTTTTTTTTTGGGCAGTAACAGAATTAACAATGATTCCAATACTGAAAGTAAAATAATAAAATAAATCCTGAATAATTCAGTCCTCCAGTTTTTTATTTCTCATTCAACACACAAATATTCCTTTTCTCCAAAATTAAGGACTTTAGAATCTAGAGCCATTTTTTCCTTTTTTTTTTTTTTTTTGCCATACTAGCCCTGGTCTGTAGAAGAAATGCATGCACAGTTTGCTCAACAGGGTTGAGACAGATTATTTTATTCTAGGGGAAAAAGGGTAAGCTCAGTCTATCAGATAGAGAAAATGACCTTCATACCAAATGCTGTAGGAATCAGAACTCAACTGATTTGAGAGGAGTTTATAAACACACATTTTTTGTGTGTTTATAAACACACCAACTGCTCCAGTTTGATGGCTGCAGACTGACCTCTGCTCTGCACTTGTTCTTGTAGCGTTGAAGCCAATGGGTAATAGAACACATCCCAGAGGATGCTGTGAATCCAGGTTTCTGAATTCTCTCATGGCAGTGGGACCCTGTCAGATTTACTGAACCATAAAGAGTAGGGAGACAGGTGTCTCTTTGGTGGAAAGCAGTGCTGGAGCAATGCTGGGGAGCACAAAGACCTGGCTGTGCTGCTTTGTTTTAACACAGCCTGGCACACAGTCTTCATCATGCCTTACTTGGACCTTCATTAAAAGCTCTGGTTTTAATATTTTTCTGCATTTGAAATTCCTGTTTTTCCTTTGGTGTTGGAAATAAGATGCAAGCCAGCACCAATGGCACCTGACCAGTCAAGGAAGTACAGAGCCATTGAAACACAGGCAGGACAGCCTGAAGTGCCACCCTCAGGCTGTGCTTCCTCGCAATCTGGGGAGGGAGAGGCTTGTCCTGCCACCAGGATGTCTTGTCCTGCCACCAGCTCCAGTAGCTCCGCAGTAAAGCTGAGATGCTCTTGGTAAGAATTGAATTGTACTTAGTTGGGGATGATTGTTTCTCTGGTGGAGCTTAAAAAGAAGGAATAGGGATTTATATCTGATATTACTTTGGACTGATAGAGTTAACCTCCAGAACTGGCTCAATGCTTCTTGCTCCTACTCACTATTTGTGCTGGGTGAGGAGCTGCAGTGACTCTTTGCTTTCCCTCCTGTGACTGGGTAACAAACATTTATTGGAAAAGAATAACAAATGGTGAATAATTTCATTTCAGGCATGAATTCTTAGATGAATGATCACTCGTGCTAAAATTAGAAATGTTCACAAGGGCAAAGAAAATGTGCAGGAATTGTCCAAATAGTTTCCAATAAGAAATATAATGAATTGGAATAGCTAAACTTTGCACTTTTATTGGTTAAAAATTTATATTAGATAATATTTTTTATGTCATGCAACATTACTACCCTAAAATGATTTATGTACTAAATGTACTAAGTATGTACTAAGTGGTACGTATTTCCCTCCTTCTTACAAAAATGATTTATGGTTTGTATAGCAACAGCAGTACTATTCCAGGTATTAAAATGTAGGACTCGGCTTATATGTGCTTTTAATTTGGAATTAATAAATAGCATTTATTGCATCTAAGGTAGCAGAATTACATTGTTTTGAAACCATCAACACATGATATTAGTCTGGTAGTTCCTGGAGGCAATTCTTTGCTCCAGGCTGGCTCTGTTATGCACACTCCCATTATTTTCAGTGGAGTGTCAGCTAAGGAATACCAGGCAGCCTGTCCTGAGACCACATGAGGGTCATCACAGCACTAAAGTGGTTAAGCATTCATTTATAGCCTCCTTAGAATGTAAGTATTCCCAGACCAGACATATAACATTTTTAGCAGGATGGTGTATTCCTCTCCACAGATTATTCTCTTTGCTTTTAAATACCTTAGACTGCATTTTCAGACAGGATCAAATTATCCTGTAAAACTGTAAGGATGTGAATACACTTACATCCACCTCTCTGAACACCCACGGAAACACATATTTACACGTTTTTTCTTGAGTAAGTGGGTTGATATTTGCAAATAAGATCCTAATCAGCACTGAGTGGGTCTGCTCTCTCCTTGTTGCAGAGGGACCCAAGGTACCCAAGGTTGCTGCTGTTTTAGGTACCTCAGCCAACTGCCTGAAGGTATCAGGAGTTTAGACTTCAAATTACATAGAAAATAACTTACACATAGAGTGCTGTGAGTCTGAATTTCTACAGAACAAGCACTTAGGTGGAACACCTTTGTAGGCTGCTGTGCAGAGGAGATAGGAGAGCTAGCTGTGGCTTTTATTAATCAGGAATTTTCCTCCTAGATGTTTGACCCCTATGGAATACAGCGTGTTCATCCAGAGGGTGTACAATTGCTGGGGGAAAATTCTTTGGTACCCACTGCCATTTAAAGAAAAAAAGGCTGTCCTGGATTTGGAAATGTATATGTGTGTAGATCATGCTGCTGGAGCACCAAGGAACCAAAGCTGCAGCATGTGCAACCCAATTCCTCTTGGCAATGGGCCTGACAGATTTTTGTAGCTCGAGAAGACCATACATTCAGATATGATATTTTAGGAACCAGTCTTTCCTCAGAACTGTGCTGGCATTAACCTCTTGCCTACAGACGACTCCCCCAATCTAATAGCTGAATTTAGAGCAGTGGCTTGCTCACTTTCACATACTTGCCTCTATATTAACACCAGGAACCTGCCTGCATGAAAATATGCCTGCTTCTGTGTGACAGCCCATTTAATTACAGTGATCCACAAAAGATACCTTACCAATGAAGATCTGGTTAAAGTGGATATGGGAGAGGCAGACCTCTTTGCTTCAGCTGAACTTTTCAGCTTCTGCTATGATCTGCTAGAGCTTCCTTAGAGCATGCCTATCTCTTTAAATCCCGAATTTCACAGATGAAATCCGGCAGAAGTTCTTTGGTGTCAGGTGCCAGGCACAAGTTATGAAGGCTTCTTTGCAAACTCTTGTGCAGCTTGACCCAGACCCTTCACTTGTGGGGCCCTGCCTGCAGTTACAGAGCTCTTCACTCCCGTGGGCAGAAGCTGGTGGAGTTCCCAGGTCATGTAGGGCTGGAAGGGACTCCTGACACCCCATAGGTTCAGCTGTGCACTAAAC